ATGCTGAAATGCAGTAAATGTGCTTTCAGGCAAAATACAAAAGTGAAATATACCAGATTACGAAAAGAGCCCCGAAGGACACATTACACTTCACTTTTAAACAATGGCTGGAACATTTGGATTCAAAACATGCCACATGACAAGGACGCATGTCCTTGTAAATGAGACGAGTCTGGTATTAAACAGAGTGTTTTAGTAAAATGGAGTAAGAGACTCATATTCCTCAGTGTCAAATAAAGAAAAATAAGGAGCGCCGTTCAAAGGAAGTGCCATCAAATGCTATAAATAAACAGTTGTCTGGGAATGAATATTATGAGTTAAATCTACTCAATAAAACAGCAGGCCATCACCACAATCCTCACCATAATAGTTTAACAGTCTCAGTTGCAGCCCAGGCACTTCAAAACATTTGTTAAAATATTTGCATAGAAGTAATTATACATTAATTTTGGAAAATATTAGTCGTTGGATCTGCCCCTGCTATATGAAGTAATGTCTGCTTCAATTTTTGCTTGCTCTTTTTTTAAAGCGGTTTACATAGTAAGCGGGTATATCTCCTCGTCCACCACCAGTGTGCAGCATCACCTGGATGATGCGATGGCAGCCATAGTGCGCCAGAACGCCCCCCCACACACCAGGTTACTGGTGAAGAGGAGACAGCTTGATGAAGCCAATCAGTATATGGGGATGATTAGGAGGCCATGATGGTCAGAGGCCAATGGGCAAATTTGGCCAGGATGCCTGGGTTACACCCCTACTCTTTTCAAAGGACATCCTGGGATTTTTAATGACCCCATAGAGTCAGGACCTCGGTTTAACGTCTCATCCGAAGGATCCCACTATTCTGGGGTGCTAGGACCCACAAAGACCACAGGGTGAGCACCCCCTGCTGGCCTCACTAACACCTCTTCCAGCAGAAACCTAGTTTTCCCAGGAGATGTCCCATCCAGGTACTGACCAGGCAAAACCCTGCTTAGCCTCAGTGGGTGACCAGGCGAGAGCTGCAGAGTGATAGCTGCTGGCTTAATGAGTTATAAACGTTAATAACTTGTGAAAGTGAACAAAAGCATTATGTAACAAAATCACATTTTATTTAATTTTTTTCACACTAAGCCATATATCATTACAATTTGTTTTTTTTGTTTGTAGAGCTAGCAAGTGTCAACCACCACATCAATTCTCATGCCATTTAGAAATTAAAGCAATTACATTTCAGCAAAAGCCATTTAGGGTCAAAAAGACCCCAGATACACAAAAAAACGTTATAAAGGTTAATAACTTGTGAAAGTGAACCTTAATGTGACGTGTACACACAAATCATTTATTTATTAATTACTAATGCACACAGTTTTTTTTCTGGTGAAATGTATTTTATTGTTGATGCACTA